AATATGTTAATATAATTAGGTTATGTTTTAAGTTTATAGTGTTTTTAATTATTTAAATTTTAATATAGGATGCAAAGGTATTTTAAAAAAAACACCAAGATTTAAAAAGAAAGAATTGAGTGAGAATCCAAAGATGTATTTCATATTTGCAATGTAGAACTATTTTTAGTTAGTATTTTCAATAACATATATAAACTTTAATGTTATGTATTATAGAATACTGTTTATTTATTGTTAGAAGCGTGACGGTTGGATATAAATTTTCTAAATTTCGACCCCACGGTTCAAATGTTCTGGGTCCGCCCCTGTTCATATGTGAATGGGAATATACCTATTTTCCCATCCCAGAGGACAGCCCCATCATTCCCAAACCTAGGCCTACCAACAGCCGCTAGGAACATGATTTTTGGTATGTGAGCCTTTGATTGAGATGTTCTGTATGGGTCTGGTTCTTCTGGTAATGCATAAAATGTTGTCTTTTCCTTTGTGATGTTAAACCATTTTTCATCAATATGAATGTAGTCATAGAAATGATGAAATGTGGGATTTATGGGAATTGATGGGGCTGTAATATGATCCAAGCAGTATTTAAGTCTCTTGAGCTTACATTTTTCACACAGAAAAGGCTTGATGGCATTAGAATGTCTTCTTATGGCCTTGCCCTTTAGCCACCTTTGGACTGTTGATTTTGAAACATCCATTGCATAGGCTAAAGCACGCATGTTCTTCCTTCGGTGAAAGGGTACTGCTAACATTTTTTGCGTGTCAACAGTCACCCTTTTCTTTCCAGAATTCCCAATCCACTTGCACTGAACATCCACGACCTCCCCGCATTTGAGTCTTAGCTATACTCCATATCTTTCCAACTGTTTTGGTTGAGAAGTTGAATTCTGCAGCAACCTCTTTCATGCAGCCTCCCTGAAGTTTGCCATTTTTACAAAATTGAAGAAGCTTGTCAACGACTCGTTTACGTTTATGATTACGTTTTTCACAACTTTTTTTTCCCAAACTACTCGTTTCTTCTTCTGCTACAGGGGTGTCAAGACTGAGGAGGGGAACCTGGACTAAAGGTGGCAGGTTCGTACTGCATGAATTTGAAGAAAAGGAAGAGAATGAAGATGCGGTTGACAAAGACGGTGATGATGGTGGGGAGACCATGGATACGAACAGCACAATGAAGAACAAAAGGGAAATTTATGGGCATGGTGAGAAAAAGGTGAGGAAGAAGCTGAAAAAGGACATCTTTTAAGTGGGTATTAAATGCAGAAAGAAGTTTCTATTTATAGATTTTGTTTAGAAACTTGATATTGTAATGGGAGGGAAGTTTAAAATTTACCAAAAATTAATTTGGCACAAAAACTTCCCTCCAATTTTGGATTTTGGCATGTAATTGTACCAGTGATAGGGATGGGAATTATAAATCGCTGCTGTATCCGAACTAAGCCACTGTGTGGCAGTGTACTCTTCCACCTTTTCATTTAATGCAATACTATTCACTTTTTCTCTTTACAATTTTTTATTTAAGGGTTTGGGGGCATTTTTGGAAGGTCAAAGGGACAAATACACTCCCTTAAATTTTAGTTTTAGTCAATAAGTCCCGTGTTTTACGGGACGGAGGGAGTATATGTTTATATTTGGACATTTTAATATGATATATATATATATATATATATATATATATATATATATATATATATATATATATATATATATATATATATATATATATATATATATATATATGGCCCGGTTCAGGTAAGAATGCACCATGGTGAAAGAAATAAGAATAAAATCTAGCCTTTGGATCAGATGCATCGTGCGGCTCAGATTGCATCCTGCACTCAGATTTTGAGATAGTGCATTTTCAAAGGATTTTGGTGCATTTCGACATGACGCATTTTCAAACCATTTTGGTGCACCTAATTTTGATGCAATCTTGACCCTTAGATCTCACAATCTAAAGCACCAGATTCATTCTCATTTCTCTCCTAAGATTGCATTCTCACCAGAACCAATATATATATATATATATATATATATATATATATATATAGGGGCCGGTTCCCATGAGAATGCACCTTGTGGAGAGAAATGAGAATAAAATCTAGCCGTCGGATCTGATGCATCGTGCGGCTCAGATTGCATCCTGCGCTCAAATTTTGAGATAGTGCATTTTCGAAGGTTTATGGTGCATTTCGACGTGATGCATTTTCGCACCATTTTGGTGCATCTAATTTTGATGAAATCTTGACCCTTAGATCTCATAATCTAAAGCACCAGATTTATTCTCATTTCTCTCCTAAGATTGCATTTTTACCAGAACCTATATATATATATATATATATATATATATATATATATATATATATATATATATATATATATATATGGGATTGACTCCAGTGAGATGACAAGCTTCGGTCAGATGACACAAAGCTCATCACTGGTCACTGCAAAGCTCACTAAAGACAACTACAAAGTTCACCAAAGTATAAGGCAAAGCTCACCATATTTTTTCAACATTTTGAATTTTTTCCCAAAAAAAAATCAAAGGAAAGGGTGCTTATTGGACTTTGACTGTTGACTGCCAGCATTGACCGCCGCCTGCCACCGGCCGCCGCCGCCGCCGTTCGCCGTCGCCGGTCGCCGCAAACCGGTCACCGCCGCCGGTCGCCGGTCGCTGGTCTCAGTCGTCGGTCGCCGCCGCCGGTCGCCGGAATCCGGTCGCCCTCGCCGGACTCCGGCCGCCGCCGTCGGGCTCCGGCCGCCACTACTGCTCCGCCGCCTTTGACCGGTGGTTGACCGGTGTTGTTATTTTATTTTTAATTAATTTTTTAATTTTTAAAATTTAAAAAAGGTGAGTTTTGGGGTTCAAAGTGGTGAGCTTTGCTTTATTTCCATTTGAGCTTTGCATTGTCCATTGGTGAGCTTTGTAGTATAGTCTGATGAGCTTTGCTTTATTAGCTTTTTTTTAAAAAAAAAAGTGGTGAGCTTTGCATTGTTCTTTGGTGAGCTTTCCATTGACAGTTGGTGAGCTTTGCATTGATAGTTGGTGAGCTTTACACTTTGACCGCCCATGACTAATGTCCACCACCGATGACTCCCACTGTTGGCGTGAACCGGTGGTTGAGTGGTGGTGTTATTTTTTTAACTTTTTTTATTTAAAAAAAGTGGTGAGCTTTACATTGACAGTTGGTGAGCTTTGCATTGGTAGTTGGTGAGCTTTGCATTGGCAGTTGGTGAGCTTTTCATTGGCAGTGTTGTGTGTTGTGTCATCTCATTGAAGCATGTCATCTTACCATAAGGTGTCATCTCACTGGAGTCAATCCCTATATATATATATATATATATATATATATATATATACACACACACACACACATACATGTGTGTGTGTGTGTGTATATATATATCGAATATATGTATTTATTAAAATGTTATATTATTTATTAATTATATGAAATTTAAAGTTGACAAAATAAATTGAAATATTTCCATATGGTAGGGCCAAAAATCCAAAATTAAGGTGCTTGGTGTGCAAGAAAGAGATATTTGATTTATTTCCTAAATCTTAAAAGATACATTTCCATTAGAAATGAGAATGAGAATTATGCTTCTTATAAATATGAGGTAATCTCTGCCCTTTTGTCTTGTGGGTCTCAAGCCACATCCAAGAAAAATAAGGGAGAAAATTTGTTTCTCTCGTCTTATCTTTTACTCCAAATATATTATATTTTAGAAATATTCTAAGAAAAAATTACTTGCATAATTTTTCTCCTAAAAAGTTTTCACATATATATATATATATATATATATATATATATATATATATATATATATATAGTTCGTGTGTCCAAACTAGAGGTCAGATACTTTTATGGCTAACTCTTGGACCAATCCCATCAACCATACATTGTTGTTTGCTCACCAAGAAAGATATACTTTTTAACTATAACTTATAGTCTTCATAAGGGATTTTGGGCAGAAACAAATTTTGAACTCAAATTTTTTGCTTTCCGCTGCCCTATCCAAGCGTGGATTCCCAACATAAGTAACTTGGTTTATGATGTTCGTGACCCCATAGGTTCACTATGTCTATCATGGTATCAGAGTCAGTTTTAGCCCATCTCCTCTTTCAAGGTGTTCGTCTAAACGTTCATTCATACCGACCCTAATGTTTAGCCCAGTTGTCCATGAGGAATGTATACCCAACGGCATGTGGCTCGTTTAACCCGATTTCTTGTCTGAAAGTCTAAACCCCGTGACTCGTGGTCCTTTAGGTGTTGGTGCTCAAAAAAATCAGGAGGATGTGAATTCATTTGCAAGTGGTCAACCGTTTAGATTCAAAATGATTTGGTTGTTCACTAGTGTTAAAGTATCCTCATCAAAACTTGATGAGAAAATAAAATGGTATATAAGCTCTTGAGTTGAACTACGTATGTAATTGATTGAATTCCATCTTTTAATGTAGTTCTACCCAAGTGTCTTATGACCCAGTCCAGGACTCTTGCTCCATCCTAAATCCTATCATAGTGTAGTATATGTTCATACTTTTCTCAACCTAATAATGTTGAAAGGGTCAATGCCTTCGTCTCCGCTAGACTCGAACTTGGGCGAACTTTCCTATGAACTTGGGGAGTGACTTCTTACCACTCCAGCCAAGGGAGAAATTTGTATTGTATGTTCACTATTAACCAATGATTTATCATGTTAATTAATGGGGCAAAGCTAGTGGTACACCAACATGGGGTACTTCATTTGTACACCGGACTAACACCACACACAAACACAAAATGCTTATGCAGTACAAACATTTTGTATCTTTGTGTGTCTATATTATACTCCCTCCGTCCCCAATTTGATTACAAATTGCGGGTTACGGAGTAAAATTTCTTATTTTTAAAAATCATTTTATTTACAAATTGGTATATCAATAAGATATAAAAATTACATATTAAAAAACTACGTCAAAAGTTCTACAAAACAAGAGGTGACAAGAATATTTTATTTTATCAAATACTTAATAACACAAGTTATCGAGAGGAGAGAGAAAAAAATTGTAATCTATTTAGGGACGGAGGGAGTATTAGTTTGGTGTAAAAATGGGGTACTCCATGTTGGTGTTTATTAAATTGAGAAACTATCAACAAATATATATTTAAATCGTGTAAAAATCACTAGAAAAACTAAGTGCTAGCATCGTGATACACCCAATAATAATTTTCAATAAAAAACAATTACTCCGTATTTTCTTGTGACATACGCACCGCGAAGTTGTTTGTTACGAGTGCGCTTTCAATTCATTCTTTTTGTGTCCTTTAAATTTGCAACTTTAATTTTTTTTGAAGGTTTTCTACTTTAATACTTGCTCCCTCCGTCACAAATCTTCTCAAGTTGATTTTTATGATTTTTGAGGAGATTTCAAAAAAGATTAAAGTTTACTAAAATATTCTTAATGAAAGTGAGCAAAGTATATTAAATAAAGTGGGTGTGGTGTAATAAATAAAGTGAATCAGAGTATAGTATGTAGTTGTGGTATTTCAAATATTAGAAAGCAAAAAATGAAAAGATTTTTTCCGAACAAAGATTAAGGACATTTAGGAATATCTATAACGTACAAAATGAGTAAAATCTGCATGATTGGCCAAAAATATACGTATATTATACTCCCTCCTTCCCCCAGTTTTTATCCACTTTTGAATTTTGGAACTGTTCATCTAAACACTTTGACTCATCAAATTCTCTCAATGTGTAAGCCTTAATATAGTCATGTGTGATCTTGTTTGATTTGTCTTAACATATAGATTATTAATATATAATTTCTATAATTTTTTAATATACAAATTACAAGATAAAATGGATTAAAGAAGTGTATTGGATGGTGTGTAAAAATGAAAGTGGACAAATACTCTGGGACGGAGATAGTAACATGCATGGTTGTGGAGTGCAAGGAGAACCCTACTTGGGATATACTAAATGTACAACAAGGTAAAAATAGACGCACACATATAATTAATGTATGTGCGTGCAATCGTGCTCAAAAATTAAATGTCTGCGGTGTATGCTTATTTTGTGTTGGTATACATTTGGTGTACCCTAAGTGGGGTCTACCAAGCATTTTCGTGCCTATAAATATGTTGCAACTCTCTCTCCATTCTCATGAAAATCTGTAAAATATTTTCTCCCTCTTCTCACTCTCTCTAGCTAGACTCGAAAGTAAGTAGACTAGACTCCTTTGAAGTTGTTTACAAATATTCTTTCCTAAGCAGGGAAAAAAATGGCGGGAAAATCGGGAATGAGGGCCTTCTTGGAGGACGTGAGGCCATACATAGCCATGATATGTCTGCAATTTGGGTACGCTGGAATGGCTATAATAACCAAAGTCTCACTGAATAAGGGCATGAGCCATTATGTGTTGGTTGTGTATAGGCATGCCTTTGCCACTGCTGTTATTGCCCCCTTTGCTCTTCTTCTTGAAAGGTACCCTCTCAATATTAATTAGAAAAATGTTAGGGGTAAGGTGTACCCCATTTGTCCCACACCCCCTCCATAACCACAAAAAAGGCAAGAGATTAAAAAAATTAAATAAATAAAAATAAAATAAAATTGAGTGGTGGAGAGAGGGGTGGGGTAAATGGGGTACACCTTTGGTGTACCCCTAGCATTGCTCTATTGATTACCTTTCACTCTTCTCTTTTGTTTGTCTCAAAATAAATTTTGATACCTAGTAATTAATTTTGTTTTTGGGTATATATGTATCTTTTACCTTCCACAAACAAGCTACACATTTAGGTCCTATTCTTTTGGGTTGAAAAAATTAATTTCTATCTCCTTCCAGTTTCTTCCTATTTCTTCTAGCTTCTTCCAGTTTCTTCCAACGTTTTAAGAAAGTATTTGTATATGATGATTATACAATAACATTATATATTTTTAAACTTATAACATACAGTTTCTTACATATTAATTTGTTTAATCATTTAATTGAGTGACTTTTTTTAACACTTTAATTCTTCCAATTCTACCTCCTTGCAATTTTTTCTAACTTCTTGCAGTTTCTTCCAACTCCTACCAGTTTATTCTAAAATCTAACTATGCAATTCTAACCTAAAAGAAGAGGGTCTTACTATGGGTATATTTTACTTCACTTTTATAAGCCCTAAAGAATAAGTATTAGTCCGTAGCATTTATACTTCCTGCATTTCTAAATAGTTCGTGAAGTTTGATTTGTCTAGTAAAACTGTGTACATTACCATAAATTATGGACTTAGAGCTTGCAAATCGGTCGGTCAGGTTAGGTTTGGGTTCGGTCACTTCGAGTTTGGATTATTTCAAGTTCGGGTCAATTTGGGTTCGCGTTGAGAACTGTATGTTCATGACCCAGTGTCATCGGGTTCGGCTCGACCCAACGAGTTATGACTTTGATTTTTTAAATTTTTAAATTTACATTAACAGTTACATTTTCTATTTAATAATTTTAAAATATCAAAAAAAAGTATTAAATCTATTGGATTATTTTATTTTAAATTCTGAAGTAATTTTTAGATATATAAATCAACATAAAGAATTTAAAAAATGCTTAAGTTTTGGAAAAAAGTAAGATAATTATGCAATACCATTTATGAAAAAAGTTCTGAAAATATAAATTTATACACCAAAAACGAGTAGTAAAGTGTATGATTTTGAAAAATTCATACTTGAGCGGGTCGGTCAGGTCGTGTTCGGGTTCGGTTAGGTTTGACCTATTTTTAGCGGGTCATTTCGAGTTCGGTCATCAAAACCTTTGTTCAAAACCCAGTGTTTTCAGGTCAGGTTTCGGGTAAAAAACAGATCGGATTATTTTTTTCCAGGTCTAATTATGGTTATCCTTTCATGATAATTATCCTTTAAAAAAATAATAATGATAGTTGAATTGTGCAAACTTTTTTAGAAACAGAGATAGAGCTGGCAAATCGGTCGATCAGGTCGAGTTCGGGTTACTTCGTGTCCGGGTCAATTCAGGTCCGGGTTGAGAATTTTATGTTCGTGATCCAGTATCGTCGGGTTTGGGTTGACCCAACGGGTTATAACTTTGATTTTAAAAATTATAAATTCACATTAACACTTGCATTTTGTATTGAATAAAATTTAAAATATTAAAAAACATGTAATAAATATATTAGATCATTTTATTTTAAATTCTAAAGTAATTTTTAGATATATAAATAAATATGGAAAATTTAAAAAATGCATAAATTTTAGAAAGAAGTAAGATATTTATGCAATATCATTAAAGTTTTATCCAAAAATATAAATTTATATACTAAAAATGAGTAGAAAAGTATATAATTTTAAAAAACTCTTACATTAGCGGGTCGGTCAGGTCGGGTTTGGTCGGAGTTGACCTATTTTTAGTGTGTCATTTCGGGTTCGGTCAACTTCGAGTTCGTTCTTCAAAACTTTTGTTCATAACCCGGTGTTTTCAGGTCGAGTTTCGGATCAATTTTTGCCAAGTCTAAACAGAGATGGTATAATTCTTTTTATTTTAATTTCTATCCCATTTTTACATAGAGAAAATAATTGTAGGAGAGAAACGTATCTCTAGTGCAAATCTTTTCAGTCTTAATAATTTAAGACTAAAATACGCCAGTGCACAACTCATTATATATTCCGTCGATGCGAAGGAACTTTCTACTTTAGTTTACTTTAAAACAACTACTCCATCCCTCCTAAAGTCTAACATGATTCGATAATTGAACGATGTGCAAAAACCCATAATTTTAAGATGTTTTTATTTATTAATTAGTAAAAAAATAAAAAATAAAAGTTACATATTTAATAACTACACTAGACGTATACAAAATAAGAATTGACAAGAAGATTTTTTTTAAAATTAATCAATAAAATATGCAAACAAAAGTTTATCGAAAGAACATAACAGTAAAAAGGTAAATCATTTTGGGACAAAGTGAGTGTTATTCTATCTCAAAATAAAAGACACGGATACTCCTAACTACCTCTGTCTCAGACTTTTTGTCTTGTTTGACTTTTCAGAGCTGTTTGGACTCTTAAAAAATAAATAGTAACAATTTGGGGCTTAAAATTTCAACAAAAAACTAATATGTCTCGCAGTTTCAATAATTCGAATTATTTTTATTAAATATAAATCTGGTGCAGTGTCAAGTGACACAGACTATCCATTTGTGGCATGAATTGTTTCCTTGGACAGAACTTAACCAAACATTGCACAAACTATTCAATAATCAACCATTAAGATTAGAAAACAATTGCAGTGATCAGTAACTTCAAAAAATTCAGTGAGTACAGATTACTAAACAGGAGGGATTTACAGCTAAAAGTATCTGAAATTCGATCCAATTAAGACAAATAAATCATTTCTTGCTTCTATTGATTTACTGCAGGAAAATGAGGCCAAAGATGACTTTCCCAATTTTCATGCAAATATTTGTGTTGGGTCTTCTTGGGTGAGTGAGTCTTTGCATCATCTCCTTTTGAGTTTGAAGACCACTTAAAAAGTTGCTTTTTTTATTGTCCTTCAAGAAAGCAAATAATAATTGTACAACTTTTTCATATGAATTCATTGAACAGGCCAGTGATTGATCAGAACTTCTTCTATGCTGGACTCAAATTAACCTCCCCGACTTTCGCCTGTGCCTTGAGCAACATTCTCCCCGCAATGACCTTTGTCATCGCGGTACTCTGCAAGTGCGTATACGCATAGCAAATCCTACATTCTGTAAATATGAACAATTAACACTATGTTTGGTTCAAGGAATTTGAGAGGGAAAAGAAAAGAAAATGAGAAGGAAAATACTTTTCTTGTTTGGTTAGAAAGGAAAAGAAAAGAAAAGTGGAAGGAAAAGAAAAAGAGAAAGCAAAATGTACTAAGAGGAAGGAAAACTAAATTCCTCCCATTTTGGTGAGGAAAATGGGGGAAAATCATTTTCTTTACTTTTCCTACCAAATTCCTTGAACCAAACACAGTGTAAATTTGTTGCGACAAGAAAATGAACGACTGTAAATATTATAAATATTTATTAGTTTCCCCTCTATAACAAGCGACTCGAAAATGAACGACTGTAAATATTATAAATATTTATTAGTTTCCCCTCTATAACAAGCGACTCGATGTCTCAAACATTGATTGTGTGCAGAATGGAGAAGGTGAACATAAAGAAGGTGAGATGCCAAGCAAAGGTTGTGGGAACATTTGTGACAGTGGGAGGAGCCATGTTGATGACATTGTACAAAGGCAATGTTATTAACCTCGTTTGGTCCAACCGAAACAACCAACACAAGCAAACATCCTCGTATGCCTCGGCATCATATGACAGGGACTGGGTTATAGGCTCCGTGCTCCTCATCCTCGCTACACTTGCTTGGGCTTCTTTCTTCGTCTTTCAGGTCTCTAACATCTCTAGTTTTTTTTTAAATGAAAATATATAAAACAATTGGAAGGGAATTGGCCTTTTTTGTTTGGTAAAGTGTCTGTCACATATCGGATAATTGCAGAAAGAACGAGACGTGAAATTGAACTAGCTAATCGATCAGATTCAATATTTTAGTTGTCTTATGACTCAAATGAAAAAAAACCATCATTCCATCCTAAATTCCATCGTTGTGGTCCCTCTTGGCAGGCGTTCACATTGAGGAAATACACAGCACAATTGTCTCTAACAGCATTGGTATGTTTCATTGGGACACTACAATCTATTGCAGTGACATTTGTGATGGAGCGCAAGAGCTCTGTTTGGCACATTGGTTGGGATATAAACCTCCTTGCTGCTGCCTATGCAGTAAGTCACTTCATTTCTTCGCTGGCTTCCAAACGGGGAATATCTTTCATTAATTATCTTTTCATGTTGCTGGAAACGATGTTGCAGGGTATAGTTTCATCGGGCATCGCATATTATGTGCAAGGTGTTGTGATGCAGAAAAGGGGGCCTGTCTTTGTGACAGCATTCAACCCATTGATTATGGTTATTGTTGCCTTCATGGGATCCTTAATCTTGGCAGAGCAAATCTATCTTGGAGGGTAAACTAGTCATTTCCATTTAGATTTCGGTCTGCATTCGAAAATGTTGATCTTCTAAATACATTTTAAAAAAACTTATGCATCTTGGTGGAATCTAGGGTTGTCGGAGCTGCGTTGATCGTGATCGGATTATATGCAGTGCTATGGGGAAAATACAAAGAGACAGAAGCAAAGGAGGGAATTGAAGAGACAGAGAAGAGTAACAATGCAGAGAAGAGTAGTGAAAAAATGATGGTTACCATTGAAGAAGGTGAAGAAAATGATGTTGAGATGCAAAAGAAAGTTCCTTCAGCAGCAATAGCCATTTCTTCTAACATTTCACAACCTCCCATGTTAGCTAAGGCAGCTCCAAAGTCTCAAAATTAGGACTATAAAATTTATGAATAAACACAGACTGAGGAGTTTTTTTTCCTTTTTTTTGTAATTTACTCTGAGCTTTTTACTGTTTCTCATGTAAATTTTCTATGAGATAATATGAGACTATGACTATAGCTTGTTTTTCTTTTTTCCTTACCTTTTCTTGCGCAAATAAAGGTGTTGCAACGCTTACTAAATAGTAATTGTGCCATAGGAAAAACTTGGAGTGATGGGTGTATTGTGAGCAGATCTTCCCAAATGCCCTTTTTTTTTGTCCAAGAAAGATCTGTTTCACCACTTCGAATTTGCTAGCCAGTGTATCAAGTGGATCAGATTTGGTGTTACTACCACCATCACCTACACAATTAATAGCAATGGTGATAATCATGGCTTCTTTAAAGAAGGAAAAGGCATAAGACAAGGTGACCCTAATACACCCCTTTTGTTTGTTCTTATTATGGAATGTCTAACAAGAACAATACAGTTCTATGCTCAGAATGACAAGCTTGGGTTCCACCCCATGTGCAAAGAACTTTAAGCTTATCAATCTATTATGTTTTGATGATGATTTAAGTGTAATGTGTGTAGAGCTGATGAGAAGTCTATTGGCAGCATTATGAAAGCTTTGGAACACTTTCAGAGTACAACAAGACTGGGAATTAATTTAACCAAATCACAGATTGTTATTGTAGGGGGAGAAACAAAAGTTACTCAGCCTCACTAAGATGACTGAAGGGCAACTTCCCTTCTACTATCTAGGCATGCCGCTCAATTACAACCAGCAAGAATGGAATTAAGGACTGTGATGTGACTCAAGATTATAAAAGAACCCCATTAATCAACTGGGAAGACACTTGTTTTCCTAAAAGTAATGGAGGTCTGGGGTTTAAGAATTTAGTAGCATGGAACAAAGCCAGCATTATGAAGCCAAATTGGGACATTGCCAATAAGAAAAACAACCTTTGGGTGAGATGGATACTTGCAGGTATATCAAGAACACTAATCTTTGGGAATATATACCTGGGTATGATTCCTGCTATTATCAGACGAAGATGATTAAAGTCAGGAATGAGTTTGAAGGGATGAAACTTGTTGGTGATTACTATCTTTGTCCCAGTATATTTGTCTTGTTTGACTTTTTCAAGTCAAACTTGACAAACTTTGAACTTCAATTACCCTCAATTTATATATATATATTACTCTATAGTATAATGAAATAAAATTTTGAAAGTTCTCAACAAGATAATTCTAATAAAATCATTTTTATACTAATATACATTACAATATATATATACTATCATTGCTCCATGCGATGCACGATTTTAGTGTCCGCTTACTTTTAGTGCTATGTGCATTTTTGTGATGGCTTATTTTTTATTGTGTGTTTCAAGAGTTTGTAGAGTGTTAAGGGTCATAATTTTGCTTTTCGATAGTTTGTCTGAGAGGATGCTACAGAATATAAATTCATAAAAGAAGGAACAATGCAGTTCTTTACAGTGTGCATTTATGCAAGATTTTAAATTCATAAAAAGAAGGCACAATAGAATTCTTTAAAATGTGCATTTATGCCAGATTTTAAATTCATAAAAAGGAGGCACGGTAGAATTCTTTACAATGTGCACTTATGCAAGATTTTCTATAAGTCAATTCAAAAAAGGAAAAACAACTCAAGTAATTTTTGTAAACAATTTTAACTCAAAAAAATCCTTTTACTTGAAAAGAATAGAAAAAACTACATGAGTCAGACTGTGAGATTGCTTTGGCAAACCTGAACTTTTGTCCACCACATTTAAACCACCAACACAACTTCACTATGAAATACTCTGAAATTTTCCTATTTTGATTTACAAGATTGAAGGGGTAACTCCACAAAATTCTCTGAGATCCTTTCCATTCTTTGCACAACTCTCCAACCATATAAAATGTTGCAAATTTTTATTTCACCTCGTTAGACGTCTATCATCTCAGAAAAGGTAATTCACTTGCATTCTCAGTTTGTATTACTGGTTTGGTAGCCTTGGACTAAACAATCCTTGAGATACATTAGAATACCTGGATTTCTATTTCCTCTTCAATAACTTGATGTCTTCAAGACTTTGATTTTATTTTCCCTTAGTTGTCACTTTCACATATCTGCATCAAACAAAATTTGTATGTAATTTTACACCCCAAATGATTGCTGGGAAAATCAAATCAATTTTTAGTATAAACGATTAATAACTTTCCCTTCTTTGTGTCGTCAAAATGAGCGAAATCACATTCCAGATCAAGAATGATAAACACAACAGCAATCTATCGAACGATAATTGAACACCAAGATTTACATGGAAACCCAAATGGGGAAAAGCACATGACTGTTAACACAGTACCAAAGTTTTAAATAATCATAAAAACAAAATTAGTGGGTACAACTAATAATCTTCTCTAAAATAATAATAGACATATATGATCATCAAGTAACAACTTGGGACACCAAAATGATAATAATAGTCACACGCGGTGGAATAAAAACGCAGAAGAGAAACAAAGGCACTTTATAATGAATCACATTATGAAACCTAATTAAATTATTATCTCATGTTGATATCCTCCACTTCAAATTCAATTTTCATCTAATTGATGCCCTTACCTCATTACCTCCATAAATTTAGAATTTATTCATAAAGGCTAATATACTACATGAGCATGAACAAATTGGGATACAACTATTTGCAATTGAAGGTTGCACAGAAAGAGGGAATACCTGTGATGTAGGAGTTTCTTCGCATTGGTTCAAGGATTGAGAGAGGGGAAAAATAAGGATATGGAGGCTGACCTGATAACAAAAATTTTTACCAATTCAAATACGGAGTAATTCATAATAGAGTGAACTCTCTAATTATCCAATTGATAGAATGGTTGAAACTTGAAGGTAAACACATCAAGAGAATGATCACTGAAGTTTTAATTTTTGAATTCACTCTTATTTTTACTATTAATGATTTTTTTTATGATTAATTGTAGAAGACTATTTAAAAAAGTTAATGTATGAAGACCTCAAGATGCAAATAGCTTAATATTCAGAAGCCCTATTTAGAGGAATGCTAGGGGTACACCAAATAGTGTACCTCATTTGTACCCCGCTCCATTCCCATCATACAAAAACAAGAGAGAGAAAAAATTAAAAATAAAAAAAGAAATGGAGGGTGAAGATGCATGGTGTACAAACGGAGTACATCACTTGGTGTACCCTAGGTCCCTACCGAGCCGAACAGTCGGTCCGGTATTTGGAAACGGTACGAGTTTACTTCCCATACTGAAATTCTCGAACCGAACATATATACTACTCCGTAATATGTTATAAAAATAATAATCTTTTTATATTTCTTCTTTAAATAAAAAATTTATATAGACAATTTAGTTTAAATTCGTTATGTTTAAGTTGCACTTTAATAAGAGTTTTTTATTTCTTGTAGATGAGTATAAGAATATTAAAAAATATTTAAAATAATACTTTGTTATCACTCGTTTTTTTTAGTTTGTGAAATATAAACTAACTTTCATAAGCATTTCTTGCATTTTATTTTTTCATTTTTAAATTTTTTTATCTTTTTTTGGTTAAATGTACTTTCGATTTTTCAAAAATAAAAGGTTTTGTTACATTTTATGATGTAAACTAGGTACGTATATATTCATCCTTATTCGTACCGAAACCGATACCGAACCATACTGAACCAATGCTTCAGGATCGGGATCGGTACAACGTAAAATCTCATACCGAACCGAAATATTTGGTACAGTATCGGTACGAACTGATGGGCATATCCCTATACCCGACCCGGACAACCGAAAGGGACAGGTCAAAGTATGACCAGTCACTTTTATCAATCACCAAATGAGGTTAACTCTTCGATCTGGACGGGTCGAAAGTTGACCGGTCACTTCCACTAAAAAAGTGACCGGTCACATTTTGGGCGATAGCGAAAATATCACCTTATTCTACGAAGGACATTCTAGAAGACCAAAGAGACGGGTTGAGCGCAAGAAATGACCGGGTAACCTTTCAGAGAAGGTGACCGGTCATATCACTTTACTTGGCTAACATTGGTCCAGTCTCTTAGGCATGGTGAACCACGTCAGAGGTCAAGGGGACACCCCGCCGCTCATCCATCACGAGGCACACAGTGAAAGGGATGTTTGTCATTTTGCAGGGTTGATTGGATTGAGAATATCCATTTTAGTCTTTGATTGAACAGTGCTTTTTGGTTGTATTAGTAGCAAGTCCATGATTGTACAGTGCTTCCATTATCTACAGTGACCTTCCCACGAGCTTCCTATTTTGTCCATGGATGAACAGGGGAAGGTCACAAATCCTCCTCTATAAATATGATGATATTGGATAGAGGAGGGGATCCATTCTTTCTCTCACTAAAAATAGTACACTCTTGAGACAGAGTAAGAAATATAATTCGGACTGAGGAGATTTACCCGGTCTAGGTCATACTTTGTGTTCTTGTTGTGTGTTTTATATTACGGGTCAAGTGTCCAGGTTAAACCCGGTTAACCCGCCCAGCTATATTTACACCATCATTTTTGGCGCCATCCGTGGGACCGATTTTTAAACCTGGTTAACCCGGTTAACCCGCCCAGCTATATTTACACCATCAATTTGCGAGCACCCGCATTGGAAGGACTATTAAAGTGGAGGACTACTCCTCTTCTCTCCTCCACATCATCTTTTCTAGAACGGGTAAATTTCACCAATGGTACCTGAACTTTAGCTGGAATTTCGAAGTGGTACCTAAACTTCAAATCCTTTCAAAAAAAATACCTAAACTTACACAATCCTTTCACTAAAAGTCCATTTGCTCGTTTCTAGGTTAACTTCCGGTCATTTGGGGCAAATTAGAATTTTATATATTTTAAAATTTTCAATTTGATCCCATTTCTTTTATTCTTTTCTTCCGCTCACCGCCGCCGTCACACCACCTCAAACTCGCTGGAAAATCAACCTGGTCCGATTCCGGCGGGACCAACGTCATTCTCTTCATCTTGAGATGAGGATCAAGAATATCCAAACCATTTTTTCCAATTTGGCCTGCAACTCCTTGAATTTGAATTTTTCATCTCGAAAAACCCCTAAAATCTGAAATTGGGGGTTTTTCCAAATCGCCATCAAATCTTGCAATTGAGGAGTCCTAGAAGGTCGCC